TAAATGGCCATGGTGACAAGACTGAATGGAGCAGTTCCTCGAGTTGGTGAATCATTAGCGCATGCTTTTGAAATTCGTCACATTTTCGAACAAACTCTTTTGTGTCTTTTTCCATATTGATCCAGTAATAGTCGGCTCTGATTACCTTTTGAGCCAATGATTCAGCACCGGACTCGGTGTCTCCCGGTCCCATACATATCGCTAATGGACCATTGAAAATTCCCCTAAACAAGGTTCCATCTTCGGTCAAAGTGAACTGTGCTGCCTTCATGCGTAGGGCCCTAGATTCTTTCGGATCTGAGGGAAGATTTTCGGTCTTCAAATACTCTATGTACTTATTTCTCCAATCCCAGGTCAAACTTGTGAAATTTATCTCGGAGTGACCTTCTTCGATTACTGATCTCATGAGTTGCACGACTGCCCCTGAATCGAGCTCGTTATTTGATGACCCTAAGTTTGCGAGAGCATCGGCCTCACTATTATGATCTCGAGGCACATGTTGCAAAGTCCACTCCTTAAATCGGTGCAAAGTTACTTGTAACTTATCTAGGTATCTTTGCATTCGTTCTTCTCTAACTTCGAAGGTTCCGTTAACATGATTCACTACGAGGAGGGAGTCACATTTGGCCTCGATCACCTCTGCTCCCAAGCCTTTGGTTAGTTCGAGACCTGCAATCATGGCCTCATATACGGCCTCATTGTTAGTCAATTTTACAGTTCTAATAGATTGTCTAACCACATTGCCCGTGGGTGGCTTTAGTACAATACCAATCCCGGACCCTTTCACGTTCGAAGCACCGTCCGTGAAGAGGGTCCATTTTTCTGAGGATGTACCCGAATTTGTCAATAGTTCTTTTTTGACCTCGGGTACTAGGGCTGGTGTGAAGTCAGCTATGAAGTCTGCCAAAATTTGAGACTTAATTGTTGTTCGGGGTCGATATTCGATATTATACCCGCTGATTTCTATGGCCTATTTGGCCAACCGTCCCGAAAGCTCAGGTTTATGCAAAATATTTCGAAGTGGATAAGTTGTTACAACACATATGGGGTGATATTGAAAGTTTGATTTTAGTTTCCTAGAGGCGCTTATCAGAGCGAGCGCAAATCTTTCTAGGTGGGGATATCTAGTTTCGGCCTCACCTAAGGTCCGGCTAACATAATAAATGGAAATTTGTGTACCTCGTTCTTCCCGGACTAGGAATCCACTTACCGTTACCTCCGATACTTCCAAATATAAGTAAAGTTGTTCGTCTGCCCTCGGTGTGTGAAGCAGCGGTGGGTTCAATAAGTACCGTTTAAGCTCTTCCAAGGCATGCTGGCATTCCGAGGTCCATGTGAAATTATTTTTCTTTTTTAGTAACGAGAAAAAATGGTGGCCTTTATCGGAGGATCTTGAGATGAATCGCCCCAGGGTGGCCATGCGCCCGGTTAACCTCTATACGGCCTTTACGCTATCTATCACCATGATGCCATCGATAGTTTTGATCTTGTCAGGATTAATCTCGGTTTCTCGGTTAGATACCATGAACCTGAGAAATTTGCCTGACCCGACCCCGAATGCACATTTTCCGAGTTTAGCTTCATGTTGTACTTCTTCAATATACTGATAGTTTCCTACAAGTGCTTTAAATGGTCCTCTGCTCGCAGGTGCTTAACTAGCATGTTATCAATGTAAACTTTCATAGATTTTCCTATTTATTCTTCGAACATCCGATTTACTAGGCGTTGATAAGCGACACTAGCATTTGTTAATCCAAATGGCATTACATTGTAGCAGTAGGTACTATACTTAGTGATGAACGAGGTCTTTTCTTGATCATCCAGGCTCGTTTGTATTTGATTGTACCCGGAATAGGCATCGAGAAAACTGAGGATCTCGTGGCTGGCTGTGGCATCGATCATGCGATTGATATTAGGCAAATGAAAAGAATCCTTGGGGCATGCTTTATTTAGATCCTTGTAATCTACACACATTCTAAGCCTGTTTTCTTTTTTAGGGACTACTACTTTTGCTAACCATTCGGGTTATTTTACTTCACGGATGGACCCTACTTTTAGAAGCTTGGTTACCACATCTTTGACGAAAGCATGCTTGACCTCGGACTGTGGTCTTCTTTTTGCTTCACCGGATGGAACTTCGGATCCAAGCTTAGTCTATGGGTGGTGATTTCCGGTAGGATCCGTGTCATGTCAAGATGGGACCAAGCGAAACAATCCATGTTAGCTATAAGAAATTGAATAAGCTTTTTCTTGAGCTCGGGATTTAACCTCGTGCCTAGGTATACCTTTCGTTTGGGTAGTTGTTCGATTAGTGTGATTTGCTCCAATTCTTCGACCGTTGATTTGGTAGCGTCGGAATCATCAGGGACTATGAAGGATCGAGGGATCCCATAATCATCATCTTCGTCAGACTCCTGCTTTTCTAGTTGGGTCGAGGCCGGCGTTTGTGATTGCTAATTGGTCTCCTTTGTCGATGAGAGTGACGATATCGGAATCACTTCGTCGACAGCAAACATTTCCTTTGTGGCGGGTTGCTCCCCGTAGATTGTTCTGATTCCCTATGGTGTTGGGAATTTTAGAACCTGGTGAAGGGTCGAGGGTACTGCTCTCATGTTATGGATCCATGGTCTCCCGAACAAGGCATTATACCTCATGTCACCCTCGATCACGTGGAATTTCGTTTCTTGGATGGTCCCAACCACGTTTACTGGAAACGTTATCTCGTCCTTAGTAGTTTCACATGCCATGTTGAATTTGTTTAGTACTAGGGTCGCGGGCACAACTTGGTCCTGTAGACTAAGTTGCTCTACGACCTTCGATCGAATGATGTTGGCCGAACTATCTGGATCAATTAACATACGCTTCACTTAAGTCTTATTCATGAGTACAGATATTACTAGTGCATAGTTATGGGGGGATGATTCCTTCTGCGTCTTCATCGTTGAAGGACAGGGTTCCTTTCGGTATGTAATCCTGAGCCCGAGATCGCTTCTCTCTTACGATCGAGACATTAGTGCGTTTAAACACTGGCCCTTGGGGAACATCGATACCTACGATAATCATGTGAATAATGTGTTGCGGTTCTTCTTGCTTATTTTGTCTATTGAACTCTCTGTTTTTGAAGTGATTCTTGGCCCGATCACATAAAAACTCCCGAAGGTGCCCTTCATTGAATAACCGGGCTACTTCTTCTCTCAACTGCCTGCAATCTTCCGTTCTGTGGCCATGGGTGCCACGATACTTGCATACTTGATTGGGATTTCTTTGGGCTGGATCGGTCTGCAGAGGTTGGGGCCATTTAGTATCTTTGATGCGTCCGATATCCGATACGATGGCGGATGCATCAACATTGAAGTTATACTCCGACAATCGCGGTGCTTCCTTAGGTCCGGTATGCCTGTCTAAACCATTCTTGTTGATCAGTCCTCGAGAGCCTTGGCCTCGATCGCTTCTTCTCTCACATCGTACGGAGTTGTGCCCATGCTCGTTGCCCCTACGATCTCTATTATATGGTTGGTATCGATCCATGTTCATCCTCGGTTCTCGATTGGTGTCTCTTTTGGTAGAGGATCCAGAAGGAGCCCCCAGCCGGTCGTCTTCGACTCTAATCTTTGATTGATATCAATTATGTATATCAGCATAGGTAACAGTCGGGTACTCAATCAAGTTCTGCTTCAACTGCTGTGAATCCACTAAGCTTCGTTCATTTAGTCCTTGGGTGAAAGCTTGAACGACCCAATCGTCTGTGACCGGTGGTATATCCATTCGTTCCATTTGGAAACGAGATACAAACTCTCTTAGCATCTCGTTCTCTTTTTTCTTTACCTTGAAAAGGTCCGACTTCCTAGTCTCGACCTTTATGGCTCCGGCGTGTGCTTTTATAAAATAATCTGCAAGCATGACAAAAGAATCGATAAAGTTAGGTGGTAAATTATGATACCATATCATTGCTCCCTTTGACAGGGTTTCCCCGAATTTCTTTAGTAATACAGACATCAATCGGATCCACGACCCGAGTTTCAACAGGTTCAGCGGGTGGCCTTCCATCCTCGGGCGTTCTGTAGTTATTCTCCCCTTGATGGCCAGATTCGTTGTAGATATGTAGGGGTATTAATTGAGAGTTCGTCATTTTTAGCCTGAAATCAAAGATACTTACAAGAGCAAATGTAAAATAGTGTGTTTTACAGAGATTTGTATCAAATAACCACTACTATCCTTAGCCCCACGGTGGGCGCCAAACTGTTTACCCAAAAAATGGATAACGATTGAATTTATACGCGGTTCTAAGGATATGTGGTATAATTCGGTACAAATTGAGAAAATTATATAAATGAATATCGAAATTAATTGTGAAAGAAATGAATGCAAACCGAATGGATTAATTAGCCTAAGCCTTCAAGTTTTGTCACCCTCAAACTGAATGGAGAGTAACTGATAGAAGAACAAAATGACTAAATATCAAAACCAGAAGAAAGATAGTATATTGCTTTATGTTCTATGAATCTGAATGAATCTGTCCCTTACAAATAATCAGACCCCCTTTATATAGTAGGGAAGTTCTATTCTTAATATAATTTCTAAATACAGTAAGGAATCTCATGATAGATTAATTAATTGGCCCCTCCTTGATATGCGCCGGGATTTTCCGAGATTCTCGCCCAATTGCGGATATTCTGGTTTTTTGTTTTTTGACTCGATAAGCTCTCCTGAATTTTGGCCGATCTCGATCTTGATCGATCTCTAACTTGCTCGATCTCGATCTTGGCCGACCTCGATCGTGACCGGTTTCGATCTTGCTCGATCTCGATCTTGGCCGATCTCGATCTTGATCGGTCTCTGGATCATGAGCTCGGCGACCCAACTTCGCATTATGGCTCGATTCTACACGAGGCCGAGCCTTGGTCTATCATGTCCCAATCTCGATTAGTCATACGAAGGGCAAACTCGGTTTTGACCGTATACACACTCCTTTAACTACGATCCGTGATCTCTTCAGATTCATGCTTGCTGTGAAGTCCTGCAACTCAATTAAGGAGAAGCCAAATGTTGCTCCTGTTGTAAGAGCATGTTCTTCGTCGAGATATTTGATAAGAAATGCTGCACCAAGCAAGTCTGAGGGGAAGGAAAAATCAGTGAGGTATAGAAAGTTTTCGAATATAGCAGCATCTCTTGACAGTAGATGGCCAGTGAGAAGACTTGAGTTCACTGCAGATGTGATTGTTGGTGCATTGAAAGAAAAGAAAGCAACAAACAGATTTGGGAGTTGTGGTATGAGTAGGCAGGAGGCGCGTGAGGCTGCTCGTCTCCACATTGGCAATACGGGGTTGATTGATTATATTCTGAAATCGATGAATAATGTGATTGTTGGAGGCTATGTTGTTCGTCGTGCAGTGAATCGAGCTACCAGGGTGTTGGAGTACACGATTCAGGAGCTTCGGAATTGTGATCAACCTGAACAAGAAAAGCACCCGGAGCCAGTTCAGAACTATGCTGTTAATCCTGGAACTGATGTTTACAGTGATGTTTTATGCTTGTATAATAATCTGCTATTGAGCTTTGCAGAATCTAATGTGCTAAAGCTAGCTGTTAGGACAGTTTTGGATAGTAAGCATTTTGTGAAGGAATGGCCATTTAGGGATGATCCAGATGATATATTGCTGAGGTTCATTTGTTGCATTTTGCCGAGTTCTAGTGGTTTGGAAGCTGTACTTAGAAAGGGATATCCCCTCGGAGAACTGGTTGAAGTTCCGCTACATTCCACAATTGGTGATCTGAAAATAGCTATTGAGTCTGCAACGAGGGACACTTATTGTATTATGGACAATTTTATGGTAACAGATATTGTAGGGATGGAAAAAATGGGAGATTGTGAAGTGCTCTTTGGCATTGTCGAGTCTGGCTCAGAACTTTGTGTGAGGGGTTTTGGGTTGGATTTGGAGAGTGAGTTAAAAAATGAAGGAGGGGCTAATAATTGGACAGTTAACTGTAGGTGTGGGGCTCGAGACGATGATGGTGAAAGGATGGTTTCATGTGATATATGTGAGATATGGCAGCACACTCGCTGCTGTGGGATCGAAGATTCTGAGGTTGTGCCACTGTTGTTTGTGTGTGAGGCTTGTTGCACTTCACTTGCACCACCAAGAGCACAGAACAACCTTGAGTTTGGTCATTATGCGACATCACTAGTGCCTTGTGATTCTGAATTTGGCATGGACCTGATATACTGATGTTAGGGACAGAGAGAGAAAATTGACTTGGGACAAAATTTGTATAGTCATAACAAGATAATCATCATATAGTCAGTCATATACTTGTGCAGTTTTTCTGTGTTTTTTTTTCTGTTGTTACACGTGTTACTCGATTCTTTCAAGGACAAACTCAATAGTCAATGATGATTCATATATCCTGCGCGTCCCCTGCTTGTTTACACATTTCTTTCTGCACTTTAAGTCCATTTACTTGTTTGATAGAAAGGAATAAGAATGAAAAACAGCAGGCTATAAAGCAGACTGAATATCTAAAAACTGAAAGACTGAAAGAATAAGAGTTGTGTAGGTAAATGTGACTAAAGTGATTAATAAGAACTAGAACTTCTGTTAGTCATAAATTTTACCCTCCAAAGGTTCTTGTGGTTCTGAACTATACAATGAACTCTACAATCTCCTCTTTCTCATCTCTAGTCCTACTTTACAAAATTTCATAGGCAAAAGAATTTGCACCACGGTCCTACTCATGATCTCCTCAAGCGGGAAGTGAGATCAATGAACACATCCTCTTCGATAGGTATTGTGAGACCGCCCATTGGATGATCAAATCCAAACTCTTCTTCGGCTTGAGCTAACAAATCTTGGAATAAAGGTTGGCTCATGTATGATATTGGCACGACGAATCTCTTCTTCTGGCTCTCTCCTATATATACTGCACAATGTCCTTTTGGAACACCTCCACATGTTGTAGGCCTCTTTAGGATTCGATTAGCCTGAATAAATGGAGTCATTTTAATACCCATTGTCTCAAGGAGTATTTGGTAACTCTAAATAGTGAAGGAAAAGAAAGAACAAGAATTTGAGAATTGTACAGAAAATGGAAGGGTTTTTTTTTGTAATCTGGATTCTTGTGTTTTGCTCAAATCCTTTGTTGTTTTGAGTATTTATATAAGTTAATGGCAAGTCTCATAACCAACTAGTGATAGACAATAGCACACGAAGTTTCACATGGTTTTGCTCACTCTGTTATTGTCAAAGTATTCAGACCATAAATTTGTTGAACAACAACACTAGGCCCTACTGCTTCTAAGATTAGGAACAGAAAGACACCCTTAAAAGAAAAGCCACAAGAATGGATGAAGTTTATGACTAAGTATCACATGGTATTGCCTTCTAACTCCTTGACAAGAACTTAGAATTTTAGGCCAGTGGAATAACATCAGGTTTCTCATACTCTGCTTAACCTAAACTATTCTCCAGTGTCCTCTAAAACTCAGCTTTAATGCATCTGTTTTTATAGCACAACTAGCCAAGATGACAATTCAAAGGTCCCCTATCTACATGACCAAGAAGGGAGAAGCACATGGTTTTGCTTCTAACCTGCAATTGCTCATCTAATGGTTTCAAATTATTGGCATTGGTGAGAAGTAACCAAGTATGAGCTGATATCATTACTAATAGGCGCCTGTTGTCAAAGTAAAAAAGACGAAACTTAGCTTCATCCACAAATTTAAGGCCCCATAGCAACATAGCCAACAGGCATCAGCACATGGCTTAGCCTTTGGTTGTTAGTAACAAAACTTCATCTCCAACTCAAAGCCTGTCTACAACCTCTTGTATAAATATAACCCCCTTTTCTATGGACATTTTTCATCGTCAAGTAAAAGAATTATCTATTCAGCCATCAAAAGTTTCTAAATTTCTAGTTTACTTTCTTGCTTCCTAACTTTCAAGAAAAAGAAAAATGGAAAGAAAGACAATGGTCAGTACTAAGAAGCTCATCAAAATGGCAAGGAGATGGCAAAAGTTCGCGGTCAAGCAGAGGAAGCAGATTTCACTTCCAAGAAATGGTAGTGATGCAGACAGTTTTAGTACATCTTCATCCTCTATTGCCGGAAAAGGCCATTTTGTAGTCTATACAATTGATCAAAGGTGCTTAAACATGTCTGAAGAAGAGTTTGGACTACCAAGTGGTGATCCTATTACATTACCCTGTGATTCGGCGTTCATGGACTACATCATGTCACTGATCAAGAAAGGTGTAACTGTTGGAGATCTTCACAAAGCATTGCTCCTCTCAATTCCCTCATGTTGCTGTTCAACTTCTTCCTTTCACCAAGAAAGTGGAAATCAACAAATTCTTGTTTATTGAGTCATGACATCATGTTTTGTAAATAATAGCTCAACATAGACTTCATAGCTGTAGAAAAATAGGCAACTGAAAGCTTGTATCATTGCAGACTGGAATAGAGCTTTATCTTGAAATTAACCAGATCTATAACTCACTTTGCAATTTGACAATTGAGAAGCTTTAACATTCTCATCTTGGAGTAGCACTATTATTTTATTGCAGGCAATCAACTTTGTCCATTGAAACTTACATTTACAGACATATGATCACACCAATGCAAGGGATTATCCACCCCACCTCCTATATGGAATAACTAATACCACCATTTTGGTATAAAATTTATACCAGTACTAGATAATACCCACAAGCAAACATGGGATAATTATAATCCCAAATTTTATACCGGGATTAATATTCTTATCCCGGTAACCAAACGACCCTGGAGTGTTCCTCTTTCAGACTTTCTTTCTAGTTAAATTTCATACTGGATCATTATATATTGAAAACTGAAAAGGAAGCTGCAAATTACAGCAACAATTTTAGAGTGTAATAATAAAGCTCAGTGGTTCCTCTTATAGGACACTAACCGGGCCACCACTTCATATCTTATTTCTAGTAACAGGTCATTCATGATTCATATCCAAATATACAAATGGAACCTGCAAGTTTTCCTCAGGCCATAATAACAAAGCCCATCTCTTAAGAGATGGTGACATAATCACAGATATATCAAGATATTTACATGTGTATTTTCAATTAGCTTAAAGCATCAAATTCTGCACTTTCCCTAGCTTCCAGATATTCAAGTCAAGAAACTAAGCTGAACATGCCCTTTTCTCACACTGCACTCACAATCATGTGATTTAATACGTCGTTTTCGCTACCACTAGACAAGATGTGGAGTTCATCTGCTCAGAAGCATCTTCAGATTTATTATATATCTGGAGATCTGGAGAATGTAAATTTAAGAATTTTATCATACAACCACACAAAGTAGGTCGGAGAGCTGTAAATAGTGATAGTAGTGCAAAATGTCACGCACATCCGTCTACTGAATTAGGAAACATGAACATATAAAAGTATTGAGTCTTCTAATCAAGTGACTTGAAAATTTTTGCTTATATAAAAACTGGCTATATCCATTTGACAGGAGGTTAGACATTTTAACTAACTTTACAAGCAGAAAATCCTTGTTTTCTACTACTACTACTACTACTACTACTACTATACAAAATGGTTCAGAAAAAACAAGGAATTTGTTTCCCTCATTGTCAAGTCCCACTTAAATGGAAGTGACATCTCTACTATCTCTCATCTTTCTCATTTCTAAAACTATTGCTTTACAAAATTCCATGGGCAGAAGAATCTGCACCATGGTCCTACTCATAATCTCCTCAAGCGGGAAGTGAGATCAATGAACACATCCTCTTTGAAAGGTATTGTGAGACCGCCCATTGGATGATCAAATCCAAACTTTTCCTCAGCTTGAGCTAACAAGTCTTGAAATAAAGGCTGGCTCAGGTATGATATTGGCATGACGAATCGCTTCTTCTGGCTCTCTCCTACATATACTGCGCAATGTCCTTTGGGAACACCTCCAGTTGTTGAAGGCCTACTTAGGATTCTGCTAGCCTGAATAAATGGAGTCACTTTGATACCCATTGTCTCAAGGAATATGATGTAACTGTAAATGATGAAGGAAAATACAGAACAAAAATGAAAGTTTTTTGAGTGTCAGGATACTTGTGTTTTTCTGAAATGTTTGGGTCTGATTATATATAAGTTTATGACAAGTATCATATCCAAAAGTTTAGTGGTTAAGAGAAATTGGTGGCTACTGGTGAGAGACAATGGCACATGAAGTTTCACATGGTTTTGCCTACTCTGCTATTGTCAAATAACTTGGACCATAAATTTTGTTGAACAACAACACTAGGCCCTACTGTTTCTTATGATTTGGAGCAGGAAAAGACACCCTTAAAATAACATCCACAAGAATGGATAAATTTGATGATTTAGTCCAGGACCACCTGGTTTAGAGGTGAGTGACAGAATGCCAGATAGGAATAGCAACAGAAATACCACAAGAGAAAGAAAGATAACATGACATGAAATATATATCACATGCCATTGCCTTCTAACTCTTTGACAAGCACTTGGAAAAAAATGTCATATTTGTGGAATAACAACAAAATTCTCATAATCCAATTAAATGAACTTGTCTGCTATTTTCATCAATTCAATAAGAAAGAAAAATTATATGACTCATTCTTTTCTAGTCCCTTTCGATATGTCTGCGATGTTTTTTTAAAGTTCGACTTTAGCTTAGCCCATTTGTTGTTATTCTGCACATAAAATGGAAGAAATACATTAATTTCTTTTCTTCAGTTGGAAAACTAGACAACCAGCCATATCCATAATTCATTAGGTCCCATATTCAACAGCAGCACATGATTCTGCCTTGCCTACCTAACTCAGGTTGACAACTTTAGCTACAATTAAAATTCATTCTCTAGCCTCAACTATAAATGAACTGCTTCCATGAGCCATTTTGATCATCAAGCAGATAGCAATTACTCAAACCTTTTAAAAAGTAACTAACCTTTTTTTCTTTCCTATCTTCCAAAGAAATCAATATGATTAGTGTTAAGAAACTCATCAAGATGGCATGGAAATGGCAGAAGTTTGCAGCCAACCAGAGGAAGAAAATTTCTTTTCCAAGATCCGATTACAATGATGCAGAAAGCTGTAGCACATCATCTTCTATAGTTGGCAAAGGGCATTTTGTGGTCTATACAACTGATCAGAAGCGATTTGTGGTTCCTTTGGCTTATCTACAACATGAGGTAATCAGACAAGTGTTGCACATGTCTGAAGAAGAATTTGAACTTTCAAGTGATGGCCCTATCACTTTACCATGTGATGCCTTATTCTTGAATTACATCATATCACTCATCAGAAGAGGTGTTACTGTAGATCTTCAGAATGCTTTGCTTGTATCAGTCGTTTCCTCCCGATGCTCATCAGCTTCATACCTTCAAGAACCAAGTCACCGACAATTCCTAGTTTGTTGAGCTAACTTCAACAAGTTTTGTAATGGATACATGATACTCAACAAGTGTACAGAATGTTAACATCTAATTGTTCATGAAAACTCCATATTCTTATCCAAACTGTTTTATTCTTTATAAATTGGGAAAATCTGGTTGCATATTGTTGCTCTCTAGTAGTCTTGCACCAAGAATATATAGCTGTTGGCTTTCACAATCACTGGGTAAGCTGATAAGCTCAATTCAAAGAACGTAATGTCAAAGGCTTCATTAAATCATTCTTTCCAGCAAGAAGTAAAAAAAGACTATTGACTTAATTGTAAAAGTATGCACCAGGGCTTCCGCAGAAGACTAATTTCAACCAAGATGATTTAGTTTCCTTGTTGTTAGTGTTGTCTTCTAAGTAAATTGTAAACAATTTTTGACTAGCCATTTTCAATTTACAAACAATTACATGAACAATAGCAGTAGGTATTAAAGCCCAAGAAAAAATAGCACATTCTGGACATTGAAAAGGGCAGTTGATCCTTTCCTTTTGCACATAGGAAGACTTGATATCACAACTAATAAGTCAAAAGAAGATTAGAGAAGGTAGGAAGAAGTCTAATACTCGATGTGAAGGTCCCCTACCTACATGACAAGGCAGCACATGGTTCAGCAAACTTAATCTAAAACAACAACTATGCTTCAATCTCAAACAAGTTGGGATCGGCAATATGAATCCTCATTCTTTCATTAAACTCAACTCATATCATTATCATTACCAAAAAAATAAAAGTGCAAGTAAATTATGAGGATTCATCATGAATTGGCAAGTATTACGCTGGTTGCTAACCTAACGCAACCTTCCTCCTTTATTCGGGCTTGGGACTGGCAATGTAAGTGAGCTCACACTGGCAGAGTTGTTAAGGGAACTTAATCTATCACCAAGAGAACTAGTCTTTATCCAAAGGTCTCAAAGTCTTCAAATTGGCGAGAAGTCCTAAAGTGTGACTTGATAGGTCCATTCTGTTGTCGACCAAAGTAAAGATTTAAGCGTATCTTACTCCCATGATATTTTCTGGTCATAGAAGCAGTAAAATGCTACTGCCAAATTTCACACCAAGAGAAGCGGATGAAACAATGAATTGCAGAAGTTCTTATTTTTCAAGTCAAAATGAAAACGTTTGATAGTAAAAGAATGTGCTGGCATCTCTTCGACCAAAAACCCCGGAATAAAATTCCTTCTCTTGGATAAAGTTTCTTCATTCATTTTCGGTATTAACATGCCTTCCCTTTACTAAGCTTAACAAATATCTCTAACTCCTCAACTTACAAGCTATAATTCCTGCTTTACTAGTGTACAAATTGTTTAAGGGAAAATTGGGAATTGATTCCCTCTCAATTCCTTCTCAACAAAGAAGTGAGATCAGTGGAATCCTCTTTGCAGGGGATTTGTGTTTTGTGAGACGACCATAATGATCAAAACCAAACTGTTCCTCAGCTTCTAACGAGCTTTGTCAACGTTCTTATATAAATTGATGGTAAAGTCTCACATCCAAGAGTTTACTAGTAAGACAATTTTAGTGGTGGCTATTGAGAGACAATCCACATGAAGTTTCACATGGTTTTGCATACTCTATTACTATCTTAGTAAACCCTTAAAATTAAAAGCCACTAGAATGGATATAGCTCATGAAATAATTCTGGACCACTTGGCTTAAAGATATGGTGACACAGACTCAGCAAAGAAGGATAACCAGATAGGCATATCAACACAAATACCACAATTCTTACGATGTCTGTTACATTTTATTAGTCCTACTTAAGCTTGGCTGTGTTTGTTCTTATACTACAGAGCAAAATGGTAGAACTGAAAAATTAGACAACCAGTGATATCCACAATGCAGTAGGTCCCATATGCAACAGCAGCACATGATTCTGCCTAGCACACCTAACTAAGGTTGATAACCACAGCTTATAATTGAAATT